AATAACAGATATGCAAAAATATTCATATATGTTAAAAAAAATATCAATTTAAAATGTTCAAGAACGTATATTTTATTTGTTTATTAAATTATATTAAATTTATATTTACAGTGGATCATTTGAAAAGATTAACGAGAGAAATAGCGACCATAGAATATGATATGAAGCAAACACTTACCTTGTTGGATATTTTAGTTAAAAAGACAATTATGGAAACAGAAGTGGACAAGAACACGGAGATTTCTTTTGAAAGCGTTGAAACCCGATTTCCGTTGCAAACTGTTGAAGAATTGATGGAGGTGGAGGAGATCTTGAAACATCATGATTCCCAACATAATGCTGCAATAGTAAGTTAACGCATATGCATTTAAGTTAATATTAAATATAATATACAGATTTTAGTTTTAGAGATAGTAATGTAAAATTATTTTAATTCACAGCGCGCGTATATCAAAACTATCGGAGGAACTGACGTCACTGATGCCGTAAAGAGAATATTATGTAAAATATTCTCAAACAAATTGGCGGAGAAGTACAATTGGCAGGGTCGATGCGAAAAGGAACCACTGCGTAAATTGGAACTAATAAAAGTGATTTTCAGTAAGTACTACGTAGCAGTATTTATACGCAAAAGGTTTTGTAAACAAGTAAGAAATGCAAGCTTTTGATAAATTTTTAAGTTCCAATTCTAGATATAACAATTTATCGTTTTGCTCAATTTTAGTTTTCATCTTAACTAAATATTATTGCCAATTTTTACATTATAAGAAGTTTATAATTATTCAATGAAATACGATGCACTGTATTTATATTTAAAAAAAATATTAAAATGAGGAAAATGTTTGCAGGCTGCGTACTTCGGAATATTCCAGACACCGATCAGGGCAAGATCCAACGGAGAATTATGGAGTGGTTTCGACATTCAAAGGCGAGACATCAAAATGAGGAGAAGCGGAAAACACAAGCTGGAGACGATGCTTCTGTGGATTAATTCGGAGGAAAGCATGAGGAAGGTATTATAATAGTCAAAAGGTACCAAAGGTATGAAATATTAACCATTTTATTATTATTATTATAAAATATGGTAAGAGCTTACTGGTAAGTCAGTCACGTTCAACTGCACGTATCATTACTTCGAGATATATGATAACATATAATTACCTTTGTGATTATTGCATTACACCTTGTATGTAGCTTTATTTTCAGCCCTTTTTGTATTGCCAATGATGAGCGATGCGCTATATAAGTTTCCAATAACTTATTTCGCAAATTTCTGAGGCAATCTAAAAAAAAACTTAACATACAATATATGGGAAATAACATCAAAATATAACAGAAATCAGAAATATGGGCCACTTTTATCAACTCCGATTAACGTAATCGGTCGATTAAATTCAGCTTTTCTGGTGGAATTGATCAATTGTAACTGCTCGTTCTAACGGAAGAGTTGAATTTAATCGGCCGATTATGTTAATCGGAGGTGGTAGAAGTGGTCCTATGTATACATATAGACTTGGGCATTTATAGATAGAGCATAGACTTCGTGCGTTCTAAATTTGAGGTTAATTATCTAAGTTTATATGTACTTACCTTTGAGACATTCGCTCTATGTTATTTAAATTAGCTGCAATGGCTCTTTCAACAAGACTGTAGATTAATTCCGCGACATTACTTGTCAGTATTAAAAATAATCCGCACATGATGCAGTTTTTCGTACTAGACACTGAAATATATACTAACTGGAACGCGCGCTAGAGCTGAGTCGTGCGGGCAGAGAGAGAACATCGTCGAGTGGCGTTTGT